TGTGACACAACTGATAAACATCAGCCACTGCCATCAGCATTGTCAACCTGGCATTATAATACATCAGTGCATCCCTACAGCACGCAGCCTCTTGAGTTACTTTTTAGTTTGTCTTAAAAAATAAAAGGCAACATCAGGGCTCATTTTTGTATCCATTTTGCACCCAAATTCTAGTACCGTTTCATTTCAGTGAGCACAAACAGACGGAAGAAGTGACAAGTGAATGTTTTGAGTGGTAAAAGCAAACAAACTGGCAAAACGTATATCAAAAATGATTGCCTGGCTTGCTAATTACTTGATAAAATCTCACCAAACTACTTTTTTTTAAATCAAAAACCAAAAACCATTTTGAGTTGTCACACCACTAAGCAGCACAATTTTATATCTTCTGACAATAAACAACCTGATAGCTAAAAAAAAAAAAAACTGCAGGGTCACCATTGTGACACACTGGAGGAGATCCTTCAAATGATCTAATAAGAGCAGCAGCAGCCCTGAAAACAGTCTGAAGGCAGACAAGAAGACTACTTTAAAAGGGAGTGTGGTCAAAATTAAGTCACGTATGGTTTTTACTTTTTATTTAATGTGAATTCTGTAAGATACACTATTAAATAAAGGGGAAAAATGTCCATGCATTTGGACAAACCCACAGCTGTGTACTGTGTGGTTACCACAGACATAATAGAAAGATAATGAAGTAGCAAGTTTCATTAATTATCAAATTATTATTATTAAATCCTTTTTTTTTTTAATGAGACAGCCACATGATAAATATCACATATTCACAAATTAAGAAAATGTGTGCAAAACTAGTTGCAGACAAAGAACCTGTTAAAATATTCCAGTTAAATCCAAAATTGTAACTTTGTAATCTTTTTGTAGCTTGTTCTATTCATATCCAGTTAAGTATTTGAATACAGTTTTTCAAAAATCAATCTGAACAAGACGTACAGCTAATGCTGAAGCGTCCTGACATTTTAAGTCCTGTGTTTAAATCAAAGGCTCAGATGTAGGCAGACAATCTTTGCAGCAGAGGCTTGTAAATAAACATCATAAAATGCTGCTCTCTTCAGTTCGCTGAGGAGTACCACCCCACTTTTTCATATTAGATGCAATAGTGAGCAAGAACAGATACAGAAGCATGCATATGACCAATGTCACCACAGTCAAGCACAGACTGAATTGTGGATTATACACCGATCTATTTGTATTTGTTTCTATAAAAATATCCAATCTTTGGCATCAGTTTTCTTGAAAGGTGTTCCACATGATTTTTCAAAGTGAGTCTAGAAGAGTTGAGGTCTTATGGAAGGAAAAAGAAGTTTACATCACACATCCTGGAGATTTTATCCATTATAAACAATACAAAATGTCTAATTTTGCTTTTGAAAGACGGTTCACATGTCAATATATTCCTAGTCAAGATACTGACCCCAAATCGCTCCCATCCATCAGAGTGTGTGTGCGTGCCTAACAATGTTAGAAAAAGACCTGTATGAATTTGTGTGTGCAACTGGGTGAATGGGACATATACTAGAAAAGGCACTGTATAGGTAAAGTGTAACGTATTAGCTGCTAAAACTTTTGATCACTTTCCCTAACAAACTAAATCATTCAACTTCACTTTTCATTTTTCACCTGGTTGTCTGTGCTCCACCTCTGGGGCCAGCCCCGCAGTTTGAAAACCACTGATTTAATAACACTCCACATGCTTTACAAGCCAACTTTGAGCACAAATGCGCAGGTAATGAGAGGTGAATAAATAATTGTAAAGCTGTCTATGGTTACAGAAATATTTCAAAATTAACTGGATTTAAAGGATTTAAACAGTCGTCTGGTGATGAAAATTGATTCCGAGGTCGGTTTCTCAGTATATTATAGTATTTATCATGTTACACAATAACATATAAAGTACAGCTATGAAGCATTTTAGCATCTGCTTGAATGACTGAATGAAAGGCAGAACATTATTTGTCAGGGTCAGCAGGTTTTCCTTGAAAACCTTCAAAACCTACTGCATCTGACCCCATAGACAACACCATAAAGTGTATAGCTCAAATACAGAACACTGCCTCGCTCTAAACACTGCGTTCCTTCAGTTTGAGCAGCTCATCTCTTTCTAAATGACTCGGGTCACTGCTGACTGATGAGGTCCTCGTCACTCAGCCTTATTCTCCTTCTGCTGCTCTCTGGCACTGATGCTCATATACAGCCATGAAACGGGGAGGGTGAAGCTCAGCTTGCTGCCCATCCCCCCCCTTCCCCCCTTCATTCTGGCTGCTACATCCACTGCTGCAGAGAGAGAGAGAACGACAGAGAGCCCGCGATGGTGTCACCCTCCCTCTTTCACTCTCTGCCCCAACACCGTCACCTCCACCAATCACAGCCCTCGCTTCACCTTAGCCAAACGGAGAGCAGGTGTTGCCTCGCTGCGTCCTTGTCTTTACTGGGAAACATGCACGCAGTGTTTACATTGCTCAGGAAAAAGATGATTCACTCGGCCTGCCTTCAGCTTTTCACAAACTGGGTTATGCAATAGCCAGTTACAGTGTTTAAATAATTAAAAAATGCAAAACACGCGCAGATAATTGGCATATGAAGCTGCATTGTGTAATGTAGTAGGACGTGCAGATGATATCATTTCTATCAAAACTCAGTCTTCTGGCTATGTATTAAAAAAAATGTAGACTAACTTACAAAAATGCAGGTCTGGGCTGACCTCAGCCACAGTGCAAACATTCAGCATCAGGCTCAGAATACTTTTTATAATTTAATACTGTACTCTTGGATTCAAAGTAGATGTGAAATTACTGATGATCGAGGCTCCTCTTTGTGACAATGCACAAATCCTTTCACTTTATGTCAAAGAACAGAAAAATATACTATATATGTAGAGAGAGAGAGAGAGAGAGAGAGAGAGAGAGTATATGACCAAGAATGGACGCGTGTGCATCTATGTGTGTGTTTAATGGGATGTGGTGGGAGCCAGAATTCTGCAGCAGCACCAGTGAGGCAAATATACCTTAGCGCACAGCTGGGTGTAGCTTAAGAATTTTCAGATTCCAGCAATGTCATGACCAGAAAGTGACACATTAGCTCCTGGTACAGAGCATCTGTGTGGATTTGTATTAGTGAAATGTGACACCGAATCAATACTATGAACAACAGACGCCAAATGAAGCAAATCCTGCAGCAGGGGTAGGGCACGGTAACAAAAAAAAAAGAGGAGAGAGAGAGAATGAGCAGCTTGGTGTAAGAATTTAGGGACGAACTGGATAAATGGCTTCACATTAAGCCATCTCTATCAGGTTTCATAGACTCGTTCCTGAGCCTTTCGACGACCACTAACACTTGCACCCAGTTGAACCTCCTGCGCCTCCACCATAGTCAGGCCTGTTTCATCACCGCACACCTACCGCTAGAGCACCAGCCCAAATATAATGAGCCGAAATGACACAATCGGATACTGAACCTTGAGTTAACAGTGTCCTAATGATGCAGGGTTACACAGACTGCCGGTGCCGCACCGACTCTACTCAAAGGGCACGATGACTAAAAGCGGAAAAAATATACAAAAAATGCGGAATTTCTTGCGCAGCGCCTGTTTTGAGGCAACTTTCTCGACTCTGGTGCACTCCGCCATTAACGTGAAACAGAGCATAGGTGGTGCTCTCCGGCTGAGAAAGGGTGTTTTACGCAGCTGAATTATGCTCCATCGGATGGGGTGAGGCACTGCTGCAGTCGGGGAATCCCACGGATGGAGACCGCTAATCTTCATTCATTTTGCAATAAACAGCATCGCATTACATTGTGTTGGCTATTATTAGCTCGCCAGCGTGTGAACAGTACGTGCATCCTGCATGTTGTGGCACAATATTCATGCAGAAACAGATCGGGATGCAGCTCACAGGCAGAGGCAGATTAGTCCTTAAATAAACGCAGATTGTGGCTCACACGGGCTTCATTACTCTGTGGCTTCTCATCCCACCGGAGGAGGATGCCAACATCTTCTATTCGTGGGCTAATCATCGCTTGTCAACATCGTTTTTTACGCTCTGTCGCTTGAAATGCAATTGCGCATCCGCGCCGCAGGAGACCAACGAGACGGAGCAGCCTCCGCAGGGCATCCAGTGCTTCCTCACTACACCTCTGCGGTTTACATCGGGATACAATGGAACATCACCTTCACCGTTATCATCGTCACCACTCAGATGCACTAGCAGCCACCCGCATCCTGTCCCCCCGCTCCCCGGCCCTTTTCTTTTTAAATATATACTCGCTCTCTGGCATATACACAGCTGAATCGTGGGCAGCAAGACCATATCCCGCACAAATTCTGAGCACCATAAATTAGGAGGAAAAAAAAAGTCTTACTTTCGCCGACCACCGCCTTTAATCCGATAGGTGCCATGATGCTGCCTCTGAGTGCTGGACCGACTGATTACCCTCTGCTTACTCTCTCTCTCCTCCTCCTCCTCCTCTCTGATCGTGTCACACCGCTGCGGAGGAGCCTCCACTTGGAAACGTCACTGCGTATCCTTCCGCATCATCCACACTGGTGATGTGCGGACGTTTGGCTACAGCTGTGTGTGTATTAGCTCAAACTAATTTCTACTAGAGGCATTTATTTGTTAAGCCTTACCCGCTCATTTGTCCAAATAGAATTTAAAGATTCCTGCAAAATACGCTTGTTTTTCACAGAACCTGAAATAAATACATGATAAGAAAATAAAGTAACCCTTCATTTTTAAACAAGTTTTAATGCATATAACCTTATGCAGATGGCACAATAATATATTATATATATATATATATATAGTTTTATATATAATGTAATATAGTGAAGCATTACATTTATACAGGAAGACAGTGATGTGCAAAAGTCTTGTGTCATTGATTTAGTGAAATGTGCAAACATAAATGGAAGTATAGTATAAGACAAAAACACAGTATACACAATTCTAACAAGCTTGAAAGTCAATATTTGCTATGACCTTGCAACTTTGTTCTTCATAGACTCCTAAAGATATTCAAAGAAAGCTTGCTTAACTAGTCTTCAATAATAGTTCTCCAGGCTTCTTGAAGGGCATTCAAATGTCTTCTTTGGATGTTGGCTGCCTTTTGACCCGTTCTCTGTCAAGATCATCCCACACTGCTTTAGTAATATTGGGGTACAGGTACCAAGCCAATCCATGACTGATAGAATCAATGTCTGTAGATACTCACTGTTTACCTTTGTTGACTGCCTCGTACATACTAATGATGATTTGAACCAACAGTTTGAAATTTGGATTCATCACTCCATAATTTTCAGTCTAGTTCCTTTGCAGTTCATGCACAACTCAGCTTTTTCCCTTCTTTAGGAATGGCTTCTTAATAGCCACCCTTCAACTCTGACCATGTCTAATGAGCTTTCAGTGAACAGTAAATGGATGAACTGAAGGACAAGAAGTATCTCTTATCGCCTGTGTCAGAACCTGAGAGCAAAAACAGGTCGCTAGTACCAAAGTGTCTAAAGATACAGTTTAAAATTGGTTCTTTGCCAAGCTGTCTGTTATGTGAAGACACTGGTTCATCCCCTTGAGTTGCAGGCCTTTTTTACACTTAAATCATTCATGTTGATTCATCAAGTTAAAATTAACATTTCAGAAATGAGGTTTTTTTTTTTTTTCTTTGTTCCTTTTCCCCCCAGAGTAGCCTATAAAAGTTGTAAAAAATCAATTGGGACCACAGCAGACATAAGTTCTCAGCTGTTTGGCAAACTGCATTGATAAACTGTACAGGTGAGATGCAAAGAAGACCAGACAGGTTTTTTATTAGAACTAATAAACATAATAGTCGAAGAAAAACTGGACCATAAATTTATCAAAAGTACTGGAACACTCAGCACATCCAGTAAGTCCTTAATAATTCAATTAAAACCTACAAAAAGACATAATCAGCACAAATAGTTCATTCAGTTTAAGCATTGTTTTCAGTAAAATGCATGCTCACAAAATGTTGTGTCTCACTCCCATTTCTTATTGTTGCATTTAAAGCTCTATTTGGAAGATCCAACCATGCCAAATATTAGTTGGTCTTAAACTTTTGATGGGAACTGTATGATCAAATGGTCCAGTTTAGGGATGCACCGATACCGATACCGGTATCGGCCTCGATACCACATTTTCTAAAGTACTCGTACTCGTTAAAAG